TCATTAGCTATGGTTAGCTTTTGCAGGTTTCTTCAGCTTTAGTTAGTGTTGGCTAGTTTCATTAGCCAAAGTTAGCTATGACTAGTTTGATTAGAAAAGTTAGCTATCACTAGTTTTATTAGCTATAGTTCGTTTTGGCTAATTTGATTAGCCAAAGTTAGCTATGGGTAGTTTCATTAGATACAGTTAGCTTTGGCTAGTTTCATTAGCTTTAGTTCCCTATGGCTAGTTTCATTAGCTACAGTTAGCTTTGGCTAGTTTCAATAGTTTTGGTTAGCTATGACTGGTTCCATTAGCTATAGTTCGATATGGCTAGTTCCATTAGGTATGGTTAGCTTTTGCTAGTTTCATTAGCTTTAGTTAGATATGACTGGTTTCAATAACTATAGTTAGCTTTGGCTAGTTTCATTAACTTTAGTTCGCTATGGCTAGTTTCATTAGCAAAAAGTTAGCCTTGGCTAGTTTCATTAGCTATGGTTAACTTTTGTTAGTTTCTTTAGCCTTAGTTAGTGTTGGCTAGTTTCTTTAGCCAAAGTTAGCTATGGGTAGTTTTATTAGCTTTGGCTAGCTTCATTAGCTACAGTTAGCTATGATTACTTTGATTAGCCAAAGCTAGCTATGACTAGTTTCTTTAGCCAAAGTTAGCTATGGCTAGTTTCATTAGCTATAGTTAGCTTTGGCTAGTTTGATTTGCCACAGTTAGCGTTGAATAGTTTGATTAGCAAAAGTTAGCTATTACTAGTTTAAATTAGCAATAGTTAGCTATGGCTAGTTTCATTAGCTATAGTTAGCTTTGGCTAGTTTCATTAGCTATAGTTTGCTTCAGCTAGCTTCATTAGCTATGGTTAACTTTTGTTCCTTTAGCTTTTGTTAGCATTGTCTAGTTTCTTTAGCCAAAGTTAGCTATGGCTAGTTTCTTTAGCTACAGTTTGCTTTGACTACTTTGATTAGCCACAGTTAGCTACGACTAGTTTGATTAGCCACAGTTAGTAGTGACTAGTTTGATTAGCCACAGTTAGTAGTGCCTAGTTTGATTAGCCACAGTTAGCTATCACTAGTTTCAATTAGCTATAGTTAGCTTTAGCTAGTTTCATTAGCCATAGTTAGCTTTGGCTAGTTTCATAAGAGACCACAGAAACAGGTCTAATCAGAACCTTGAGCAGAACTGTGTCTGACCTGTGCTGTTGCAGAGCGACCTGACCCAGGACATCACCACCTCGGTTCTATGGGTCAACAGTAAGCCTCACATGATCACCTTGGACTACACCATCCAGGTGCCTCAGGCAGCGCTGCAGAAGCTTCCTGAAGTCAGGTGAGCTTACAGTTGTTTGCCAGGTGGTGAGCTGTCGTTGAGCTGCTTGTATCCAGACTGACCCAACAACCAGAATCGTCAGCAAACGACTCAGAACCGTCCTGAGTAATCCCTGTTCTGGTTCTATGCAGTAAGTTCCGGCTGTCCTACTACCCTCACCGCCTGCAGAGTTTTGGCGACCTGCTGAGCGACGCCTTCAGCGCCAACATGGAGCACACCGTCTACGGAGACTTCAAGGCCTTCCGGCCGGGCCAGGACCCGCCGCCCTGCTACTTCATCCATGTCTGCAAGAGGACGGCCTGAAGCCGGTTCTTCTGGGCCGAGCCGGGTCTGTGCGTCTTAGCAATGATTCCGCCTCTACCGTGCCCTGAGCAGAGACCGGTTTCTTTTCTGGCTTAAAGCTGCTGAGAGCCAACAGGAAGCTGCTTCCTCATGTTTTAGACGTTCTTTTACTCTTTCAGCTGACGGTCTGAACCGAAGCAAAACCGACCAAAACGTCGCAGTGATGAAATTCCTGAAGACATTGAATCTGCCAAAGATATGTAAAGAGCTGCTGGCCGGCCGGCCGGTTCTGAAACAATGTTCTGATTAATCTGCGGTCCAGAAGTGGTTCTGATTCTTGATCTTTTAATAAAACTCTGAAGTATGAGGTTGCTTGTCGTGTTTTGCTCAGTCATGGAGCTCTCTGGTGAACCTTACGCTCTGCAGCAGCAGCAAAGTGGTTCTGGATGGACCCGGCTGGACCCGTTTCATCTGCAGCCGTCACCATGGAGACCCCAGAACTTTGGAGCATCTTCTCCAGCGGTTTCAGTCATACCTGAAACACGACCCGAACTGGACCAGACCACAATCTGTTTCTGCTCCTTGGTGCTGAAGATAAA